TTCTCCGTTTATTATTCGTTTGTAGCTTTGTCCCACAGGCAAAAGCTAATATTCCTGCGAGACCTACTGCATGGTCAGCTTCGAGTGGGTTCTCTACCTACCCTGATCATGTTTCAAAACAAGCAGCCCTCAGTTGACTTGTCCATACCTGTCCAGAAAATAAAGGAGAGAGAGAAGGACTAAAATGCTGGCTTGGTTCGAAGCTGGAGCAGAGAAAGGAGAAAACAGGGAATGAGAGAAAACAGGAAGTAGATGAATAGAAGAGATGCATCAGCAGAATGTTGGAAGTATGTACAGTGGCCCATGATCAGATCATCAAACGATCTTTGATTGACAGTTTGGGTGCAGAGAACACCTACAAAGTTGTTTGAGTGGATCAGACAAAAGGTTGCTGAAAAGTACAGAAATCTCAGGCCTTTCGTTTGCTTTGTGATGACAGGTCTGTAGTTAATCAGTAGCCTACTTTTTATATCTGAATTGAGATAAGAAATACGTGTAATTCTTTTCATAAACTCACCAGACCTGGGTTCAAATTCCTTTTGAAATCTTTCAAATACTTTGAGGGTTTGCTTTAGCCTGCCTGGAGTGCCAGGTTGGCGGGATTGCACTTTTGGGACTTTTTTATTGGTTCATTGTAACAGGGAAGCTCTGTTGCAATGAACAGCTAAAGTTTTTTAAATGATTTCAAATAGTAATTGAACCCAGGTCTGAAACACAACCTCCTGACTAAGCCGAGTATGCTGCTCTTCTTCCCTCACACAGTCTGTCTCTTTGACATGGGGGGGGGGGGTGTACTGGTGCCCGAGAGGGGGAAGGCAAAGCTGCACGTCTTGTAGTTTACATGCGAGATGCTCCACATTTTTGTGGGCTTTTAAATAATATATTGTTGTTTGTGCTGTCTGTTAGCTGGAATCCCGACTCTCGAGCAACAAGTCCGAGTTTGTCGGAGGTCATATATTTAACGGGAAACCTTTCTAATGTTTTGTCTCTTTCAATCAAAGACAGCTGAAATCACTCTCTCGCTAGGCTCAGGTGTGTCCATCCCCCAAGGTGCTCGCTGTATGTCCATTCTTTGTGTCAGGGTAATCCAGGTTGTCAGTATGTCTTAATAGGGCAGGAGTAGCTGCCCCAGGCTCTGAACAGGATTAGGACCCACACCAAGTGTCAACATTAAGGGGGCTTTCTTTCTGCTCCATGGCCTCAGAGAACCTCACCTGTGGGTCCGGAGCAGACAAAGAAACATCTGAATGCCCCTTTTTAAAAACATCTACCCAGCCGTTCATGTCTACGACTGGACACTTTTGTATTTTGATTTTGAGGGAATGTCACAGTAGGTGGTTCAGAGTGTTTGAAGTTGCAGACGCTTTTCAGGTGGGGTTTCATTGTAAATACATTTCATGTCATTTTCATCTAAGTATCCTCCTGCACCCAGGTGGTATTTCCAATCTCAAATGAATCTCCTTACATTCTCAGTGCTAGTGGAGGAAAAGTTTGAGAATCTACTCCAGAGTGCTATACCCTCAGTATGTCATACTGTCCGATACCACTTTGCACATAAAAGTATAATTACTTTAACTTAACTTGAATGGGAATGTGCTATGCTGCCTCACCAGCATAGCGAAGAATGTCCAATGGGGTGAAATACTGTATATATTATGTCTGTGGCAGAGTCCCCCAGTCTACTACAGGGCAATTAGTGTCCTGATGTGACAGGGCTTCACTGCCTCCTCACACACACAGGACGGTGTCACACCACACCGCCAGGCCACTCCGCTCCGCCTGCTCAAACACACACATCCCATAACAGACCCCATAACTCTGGAAGAGAGACATGAGGGAGAAGACGCACATCTTCAGGACAGGTCTCTGTCTGTCCCCTGACTTATGGTGTCCCTTTGAAACTGGAAAGAGATAAAAAGATTTATGCAAATTAATCGAGATTTAGCAGGACGGACTGTTGAAAGGCTGTTGATCAATCCCAACGGTTACACCAGTCATCATACCCTATTATTATTACCACCGGAAAATAGTGACCGTCACAATGTCTTTTGTTTATCTGCGGTGAATCCCAAGAGTCCCATGTCAGAGTGAGTGATGTATGACTATGACTAGGGTTGCAAAATGATGGTAAGTTTAAATAAATTCCCTGGTTTTCCTGAAATCCCATTTGGAGGAGCCCGGAATCAGGAGGGAATAAGCAGGAAATCTGGAATCCTCCAACCAGGATGTCTGGAAAACCAGGGAATTTATTGAAAGTTTCCGTAATTTTGCAACCCTAACCATGACATTATTACCATGTCTATCCCATAGAGATCAAACTATGTTCTATCTGTATGGTCTGTCCTGCCAAACTGCTAACATGCTAACTTAAAGTGGCTGATGATACAGGCATGGATACTTTTTTTAACGATGCATCAAAATTGAATTTATGGTATCCATGTTATGTGTCTGATAAGGGATTATGCCGCACATTAAAAAATGACGAACATTGTTCTTTAATCATAACTTTTATAAAAGCGATGCCAGTGTACTAGCCACTCATTAACAATGTAGACATTCTTTCTTATGGCAGCCTACTAAAATTACAGGGAAAACGCTTATGCCAAAGTCCATAACACTCCCAAAAAACACTGTACAACCAAAGGCAAATGTTAAGCCTTTTGAATGGAAATGTAATGAGTGCATGGAATACATAACTTACTCGGATGCATTTATGGAGATGCCCTTGTTGGTAGTTATGAGTAGATTAGGTGTCTAGATGGATTGGGCAGACATTGCAGGGTTGCAAGGTGTTACATGTTTTTCTGTATGATAGTAGGGACACAGTGGTAAACTGGATATGGACAGGTTATAGACCATAGAGAAAGAGTGACTTGGACTGGATACTGTTTTATTGTACCTGTATCAGTGGCGGTCGGTGCCGTTTAAGAAGAGTTTGTTCATGAGCATGGCCTTATTTCTAATACAGCATATTGGATGACTGTCATTCATATTCCATTCACCCAGTTCAATGTAACATCAATAGGTTTAGGCTAATACATGATACTCAAATTTTCCCTATACCCATCATGAGGTACCTACAACCTAGCCTATTAATTAAAGTTTGTAATGTGCACACAGGTCGAGCGAAAAATCATTAGGCCCTAATCTATCGATTTCACATGACTGGGCAGGGGTGCAGCTATGGGTTGGCCTGGGAGGGCATAGGCCCACCCACTGGGGAGCCAGGCCGAGCCAATCAGAATGAGTTTTTCCCCCACAAAAGGGCTTTATTACACACGTCCGTCACATCTACATTTCTTTGATCTCCACCTCAAACGCGTACCTTGCTGGCACTGGCATTTCCCCTTGCTTAAGTTCAAGGTCAGAATACGCGTAGAGAGAAAAGTGCTTAAGTTACATGCGTGTAACTCGGATCTGAATTCCCCCCAATTTGTTTATAGTTAATAACACTAGCGTAAAGTGCAGACATAATTCTGGGGGAATCATTTGTGGGTCACTCTCTCTCTTTCTCTCTCCCTCATTATCAGAATCGCTCTCCCTTCTCTCTCTCTCTCTGAATCACTTGACCGCTGATCATGTCATAACATCCAGGTTAAAGATTAAACACTGTGAGAGATAGATGGGTCTATATTGTCCGGTGAAAGGTGACGAGGGCTGAGTATGTAGTCTCACTTGGTTTGGATGCCCATTGAAGGGTTATGGCTGAATGTGTGTGGCTCTGGCCTGGCTCAGCACGCCATCTGTAGATAAAGGAGGTGTGTGTGTGTGTGTGTGTGTGTGTGTGTGTGTGTGTGTGTGTGTGTGTGTAGGGGGGTTAGGTAGAGGATAAGTACAGGGGGCTGAGAGCTGTGTGTGGAGCAGTCTTTAATTAGAGCAGGAAGACACGGCTCAGCAGCCACACAAAGCCAGACCTAGAGGTGGGGGGGGGGGGGGTTCATGTGTCCATGTTCAACCGCCATTGTGCTCCAATGAACAGACTTCTTCCTTAGCGAGTATACAGTACATCTTTCACACTGCCCACAACAGATTGTTACACAATGTGTGAGAGATAGAACAAACTGAAAATATCACAGGAAACATACAATTTGATAACAGTATAAATTACAAAACCAGGACAATTATAAGTGAAGGGGACCTAATTGGTTTGTTTTGGCATACACAAACTGTAAACTAACTAGCGGATGAGTGGTTTTGTACTGCATTTGGTACTTGGGCTACAGCAAGTTTGCTTTATGTACAACAGCAATACCTTCCATATAAGGACATAACTGTGTCCACCAGTGGTTTACAGGTGTCTCACTCAGTTTTTCAATTCAACATATCATGCCTTCTATAGAAGGAAGCCTGAATGAGAGACCAAATGATGAAGTGTCCCTTTAATAGAGATAAGTGAATACAATATAGCCTGCAGTGAGTGCACGCTAATCATTCGATTTTAAACTGATTATGGCACTAGGCTGAGTATAGAAATAGTCATGTAAACACCTGGTTTTCTTTTTTATTTTAAACGATTAGACATGTAAACAGTTTAATCAGTCCAGTGGTGAATTCGATCTGCACATGTGCCAGCTCCTGTAGCGCAAGCCTACCTTTTATGCGCAAGTGAAGTGAGTTTTTACATACAAACTTGATATGTCCAAACACAGAATCAAATACCCGTTGCAAAAATAACATGGTTACTGTGGTAGAACATTTATTTTCATTGCCGATTTTCTGCATTTATTTAAGTCCCATCAGTTAGCCTGATTTCAGATGTGTCCATGTAAACAGGAATATTAGGGAAATCGTTCTTCTTGCAAAGCATGTAAACATTTTAAACACACTATTATATTAATCTGACTATCCACAATAATCGTATTATTGTGTGCATGTAACCGTGCTCAGTGTGTGCTGTTTTATCAGATATGGCAAGATATGTCAGATATGTTGGCATATTTCAGTTTATTGCAAAAACATGTTTCTCCTTTCTTCTGCAGCTCCCATGTGTTCTCTCAGTCATGCTTCCCAGGTATGGATTCTCCCCTCTCCCTGACTTCCAGCCTCACCTCCACGCCTTCCGTTACCGAGGAGAGAGCCCCAGCATGTGGATCCCGGTCTCAGGCGAGTCCCAGGCTTTGAGCGAGGCCCGGGACAACAGGCCTCTCCTGCGGCAGTGCCAACACAACCACATCGCCGTGTGTCAGCAGGAGCTGCAGCCGCCTGTGACCCCCAGCGTCAACGGCCGTGGATCACCTACTATAGACACTCAGCGCTCCACCCCTATGTCTCTGAATCATTGCAAACACACGAGGAGTGAAGCAGAAAATGGCGGCGGGTGGAGTAACCCTGATCATGACACTGATACTGATACGGACCTGAGTTCAGACTCTCAGACGCGAGGGGGCGACGTTGAGCTTGTTATCCGGGAAGATAGGAGGACTTACCCTCCAGTGCAAGAGCTGTGTGAGAGACCCATGGCGGTGTCGACTGTGTTTCGTCCCCTCCACACATCCCTCAGCCTGCCCCTGTTCCTCCCTCTGTCCTCCCTGTACAGGGAAACAGACTACTGGGACTCTCAGCCATCTGGCTCTCCATCCTCACATGAGCCTCCGGCGCTGCAGAGCCCAGACACCTGTCGACCCCAGAGGAGGGCTTCACAGGGCTCCCTCAAGGAAAAGTCCATCCGTAAGTACAGTATCTATCCATTCCACTTCATCAACTCTCTGTTAGTCCTCATCAGGAGAATGTTTCTTTCCCCCTTCATTTTCTCATCTGTAGGACTTCAAAATCTTACTTCTGAAATATTTTGTACAAGGCCATATCCAATATGACTGGCTGTAGTTTACAGAGAAGTCTTCACCTCAGTCTTTTTTGTGTTGTGTCCTAGGGCGTAAGGTGCGAGTGTACTCACCAGACAGCCTGAGCAACGACTCTCTGGCCAGCCCCATTCTGGATGGCGACTACCTCTTCCCAGGACCCTTCGACTCCTTCCTGGAGGAGGACATCGGGGGAGACCCTGAAGACACCACGAGTCCCTCATCAACAGGGGGGGGGCCCAACCCCCGAAAGACTCCACCTCTGTCCGCAGAGCCGCTGCAGTTGTCAGAGCACTCATCTGTCTTGAACTGTGGGGCTGTAGAGAATTCCTCGGCCACCGGAGGAAGCTCTTTAGCCCGCTCCGGTATGGCGGAACACGAGCGGCGGCGCTTCTCAGCCTCGGAGCTGATCTCACGGCTACAGCTTTCCCAGAGGAAGAACTCGTTCACACTAAAGCTTGGCAAGTCGCTGTCAGCTCGGGTGGCCTCCCGCGACAGGCAGAACCCCAGCAACCTCAGCTCTGACTGTGAGTGTCCTGCCTCAGGGTTGAGCACCACTGCAGCGGGATGTGTTAGACATGAGGTTTCTGACAGCATTGCATGTCTTATAACAACATTAACTGCCAAAAATGCTATAAATAATTTTGCAATGCCGTTTTCTATGTAAGTGGATGTTTAAACTTGAGACAACGTTCTGTAGTGGTTGTGTGTTTGCTAGGTTCCTTCCACCTCCATCTACTTTCTTCCACTCCAGATAAGTCCACTTCCAGGCATCATGGCTCAGGTGGTGCCAGTGACAGCACCCCCCACAGTCCTGTAGGACCTGCACTGCCACTGCCATCTGTTGACAATAACACGCAACAACATCGACGTAGCACCGGATTCACAATCAAAAAGTGTGTTTTAACAGCTAAAATGGGTGTATTATATCAAGGTTAAACTCACAAAGTTGCATTTAAACAATACATCTTTGCTGGAAGTGGGTTGTAAAGTTGTCCGCTGTAAATAACACTGTTATAACGACTATATCTACTACTTTCCCACAGTATGAGGAAGAAGTCTATTGAGGAGGATTGGTGCACTCCTCCCACAGTCAGCAGATCCAATCGTCTGTCACGGTTTCTCCCCAACTGTGAGTCTTACTTTCCGCTTGCGTCAAAAATGTGGTTCTTTCCACCTCCCTTCTCCACCTCCATTGTCAATGGTATTTATATGGCATAGCAATGGTATCCACACTTGTTCAACCACATGCTACATAACAACATAACATCTGAAAGTATTTTTTTAACTTTCTGCAATATTGATTTTAATTCTCAATAACCCCTATGTACTCTTCTTACTCAATATTCTCATCTCTCTCTCTCTTTCTCTCTCCTCAGCGATTCTGTACCAGGAGTACAGTGATGTTGCAATCAACCGAGAAATCCTGAGGCAGCAGGGGGAGGAGCCAGGTGCTGAGGAGGAGGGGCTAAGGGAGGAAGGGGCTGGGGAGACTCCATCTCCATCCAATCTGTCTCCGTCCAGCTCCTTTCGCTCGTCACGAGGCTCCGCGTTCTCCCTGTGGCAGGACATCCCTGACGTCCGGACCAGCGGTCAGCTGGACAACTTCAGCAACGTGGAACGCAAACTACAGGAGGTGAGAACATGAGGGTGACATAAAGCCAGATTGGGATTTGGGAAGCACTCATAGAGATGAATAGAAGGTGTGTGTGATGTCCTATCTTTTGTGGAAAGTGCAGCCTCTATCCATCTCTATGGCAGCACTACAGGCTTTTAGCATATCCAATTAACCAGCCAAGTTGATCGGTTTCATCTATGGGATGGATTACCTATTTTGTTAACATAACATATTTTGATATAACATTTGTGGTCATAACATTACATTCATGGATTTAATTTATCTCTGTTTCCCCATAACGTCATGATTTGAATATTTAGATAAAGTATTTTTTAATAATAATAATAATATGCCATTTAGCAGACGCTTTTATCCAAAGCGACTTACAGTCATGCGTGCATACATTTTTTTTGTGTATGGGTGGTCCCGGGGATCGAACCCACTACCTATGCGTTACAAGCGCCGTGCTCTACCAGCTGAGCTACAGAGGACCAAAATATATTTAGATAAATAAATGTTTTTAATTGTGAGTGAGAGGTGTGCCTATTGCTTCCAAAAGGCCCATAATGTCTCCTCATCACAGGCCAAGTTTGAGCTGGTGACATCAGAGGCGTCGTACATTCGGAGCCTGACCATCGCGGTAGACCACTTTATGCTGTCCCAGGAGCTGGGGGAGTGTCTGGGGGCCCAGGAGAGACAGTGGCTCTTCTCCAAGCTCCCCGAGGTCAAGGATGTCAGTGAGAGGTACAGTATAGTAAAAATGTATGTATGTCATGAGATTCTCTCTGTTTTTTTCTGTCTTGGTTTTTCTGATTCTTCTGTTTCTCTTCAAGTCAAATTTGATTTGTCACATGCTTCGTAACAACAGGTGTAGACTAACAGTGAAATGCTTACTTACGGGCCCTTCCCAACAATACAGAGAGGAAAAAAAGATAAATAATAGAAAAATAATAACACAAGGAATAAATACACAATGAGTAATTATAATGTTGCTATATACACAGGGTACCAGTACCGAGTAGATGTGCAGGGGTACGAGGTAATTGGGGTAGATATGTACATATACAGTGGGGGAAAAAAGTATTTAGTCAGCCACCAATTGTGCAAGTTCTCCCACTTAAAAAGATGAGAGAGGCCTGTCATTTTCATCATAGGTACACGTCAACTATGACAGACAAAATGAGAAAAAAAAAATCCCGAAAATCACATTGTAGGATTTTTAATGAATTTATTTGCAAATTATGGTGGAAAATAAGTATTTGGTCAATAACAAAAGTTTCTCAATACTTTGTTATATACCCTTTGTTGGCAATGACACAGGTCAAACGTTTTCTGTAAGTCTTCACAAGGTTTTCACACACTGTTGCTGGTATTTTGGCCCATTCCTCCATGCAGATCTCCTCTAGAGCAGTGATGTTTTGGGGCTGTCGCTGGGCAACACGGACTTTCAACTCCCTCCAAAGATTTTCTATGGGGTTGAGATCTGGAGACTGGCTAGGCCACCCCAGGACCTTGAAATGCTTCTTACGAAGCCACTCCTTCGTTGCCCGGGCGGTGTGTTTGGGATCATTGTCATGCTGAAAGACCCAGCCACGTTTCATCTTCAATGCCCTTGCTGATGGAAGGAGGTTTTCACTCAAAATCTCACGATACATGGCCCCATTCATTCTTTCCTTTACACGGATCAGTCGTCCTGGTCCCTTTGCAGAAAAACAGCCCCAAAGCATGATGTTTCCACCCCCATGCTTCACAGTAGGTATGGTGTTCTTTGGATGCAACTCAGCATTCTTTGTCCTCCAAACACGACGAGTTGAGTTTTTACCAAAAAGTTCTATTTTGGTTTCATCTGACCATATGACATTCTCCCAATCCTCTTCTGGATCATCCAAATGCACTCTAGCAAACTTCAGACGTGCCTGGACATGTACTGGCTTAAGCAGGGGGACACGTCTGGCACTGCAGGATTTGAGTCCCTGGCGGCGTAGTGTGTTACTGATGGTAGGCTTTGTTACTTTGGTCCCAGCTCTCTGCAGGTCATTCACTAGGTCCCCCCGTGTGGTTCTGGGATTTTTGCTCACCGTTCTTGTGATCATTTTGACCCCACAGGGTGAGATCTTGCGTGGAGCCCCAGATCGAGGGAGATTATCAGTGGTCTTGTATGTCTTCCATTTCCTAATAATTGCTCCCACAGTTGATTTCTTCAAACCAAGCTGCTTACCTATTGCAGATTCAGTCTTCCCAGCCTGGTGCAGGTCTACAATTTTGTTTCTGGTGTCCTTTGACAGCTCTTTGGTCTTGGCCATAGTGGAGTTTGGAGTGTGACTGTTTGAGGTTGTGGACAGGTGTCTTTTATACTGATAACAAGTTCAAACAGGTGCCATTAATACAGGTTACGAGTGGAGGTCAGAGGAGCCTCTTAAGAAGAAGTTACAGGTCTGTGAGAGCCAGAAATCTTGCTTGTTTGTAGGTGACCAAATAGTTATTTTCCACCATAATTTGCAAATAAATGCATAAAAAATCCTACAATGTGATTTTCTGGATTTTTTTCCTCAATTTGTCTGTCATAGTTGACGTGTACCTATGATGAAAATTACAGGCCTCTCTCATCTTTTTAAGTGGGAGAACTTGCACAATTGGTGGCTGACTAAATACTTTTTTCCCCACTGTAGGTAGGGACAAAGTGACTAGGCAACAGGCAGTGGTGTAAAGTACTTAAGTAAAAATACTTTGACGTACTACTTAATTAGTTTTTTGGCATATCTGTACTTTACTATTTATAATTTTGACAACTTTGACTTTTACTCCACTACATTCTTAAAGAAAATAATATACTTTTTACTCCATACATTTTCCCTGACACCCAAAAGTACTCAAATCAAATCAAATTTTATTGGTCACATACACGTGTTTAGCAGATGTTATTGCAGGTGTAGCGAAATGCTTGTGCTTCTAGCTCCGAGTGTGCAGTAATATCTAACAAGTAATATCTAACAATTTCACAACATATACCCAATACACACAAATCTAAGTAAGGAATGAATTAAGAATATATACATATATGGACGAGCAATGTCAGAGCGGCATGGACTAAGATACAGTAGAATAGTATAGAATACAGTATATACATATGAGATGAGTAATGCAAGATATGTAAACATTATTAAAGTGACTAAGATACCGTAGAATAGTATAGAATACAGTGTATATATATATATATATGAGATGAGTAATGCAAGATATGTAAACATTATTAAAGTGGCTAGTGTTCCATTTCTAAAGTGGCCAGTGATTTCTAGTCTATGTCTATAGGCAACAGCCTCTAATGTGCTAGTGATGGCTGTTTAACAGTCTGATGGCCTTGAGATAGAAGCTGTTTTTCAGTGTCTCGGTCCCAGCTTTGATGCACCTGTACTGACCTCGCATTCTGGATGATAGCGGGGTGAACAGGCAGTGGTTGATGTCCTTGATGATCTTTTTGGCCTTCCTGTGACATCGGGTGCTGTAGGTGTCCTGGAGGGCGGGTAGTTTGCCCCCGGTAATGTGTTGGGCAGACCGCACCACCCTCTGGAGAGCCTTGCGGTTGCGGGCAGTGCAGTTGCCGTACCAGGCGGTGATACAGCCCGACAGGATGCTCTCAATTGTGCATCTGTAAAAGTTTGTGAGGGTTTTAGGTGCCAAGCCACATTTCTTTAGCCTCCTGAGGTTGAAGAGGCTCTGTTGCGCCTTCTTCACCACACTGTCTGTGTGGGTGGTCCATTTCAGTTTGTCAGTGATGTGTACGCCAAGGAACTTGAAGCTTTCTACCTTCTCCACTGCGGTCCCATCAATGTGGATAGGGGGGTGCACCCTCTGCTGTTTCCTGAAGTCCACGATCATCTCCTTTGTTTTGTTGACGTTGATTGAGAGGTTATTTTCCTGGCACCACACTCCCAGAGCCCTCACCTCCTCCCTGTAGGCTGTCTCGTTATTTTTGTTAATCAAGCCTACTACTGTTGTGTCGTCTGCAAACTTGATGATTGAGTTGGAGGCGTGCTTGGCCACGCAGTCATGGGTGAACAGGGAGTACAGGAGGGGGCTGAGCACGCACCCTTGTGGGGCCCCAGTGTTGAGGATCAGCGAAGTGGAGGTGTTGTTTCCTACCTTCACCAACTGGGGGCGGCCCGTCAGGAAGTCCAGGACCCAGTTGCACAGGGCGGGGTTCAGACCCAGGGCCTCGAGCTTAATGATGAGCTTGGAGGGTACTATGGTGTTGAATGCTGAGCTATAGTCAATGAACAGCATTCTTACATAGGTATTCCTCTTGTCCAGATGGGATAGGACAGTGTGCAGAGTGATGGCGATTGCATCGTCTGTGGATCTATTGGGGCGGTAAGCAAATTGAAGTGGGTCTAGGGTGGCAGGTAAGGTAGAGGTGATATGATTCTTGACTAGTCTCTCAAGGCACTTCATGATGACAGTGGTGAGTGCTACAGGGCGATAGTCGTTTAGTTCAGTTACCTTTGCTTTCTTAGGTACAGGAACAATGGTGGCCATCTTGAAGCATGTGGGGACAGCAGACTGGGATAGGGAGAGATTGAATATGTCCGTAAACACACCAGCCAGCTGTTCTGCGCATGCTCTGAGGACGCGGCTAGGGATGCCGTCTGGGCCGGCAGCTTTGTGAGGGTTAACGCGTTTAAATGTTTTACTCATGTTGGCCACGGAGACTGAGAGCCCACAGTCCTATCCTCAAAGCGGGTGAAGAAGGTGTTTAGCTTGTCTGGAAGCAAGACATCAGTCTCGGCGACGTGGCTGGTTTTCCTTTTGTAGTCCGTGATTGTCTGTAGACCCTGCCACATACATCTCGTGTCTGAGCCGTTGAATTGCGACTCCACTTTGTCTCTATACTGACGTTTTGCTTGTTTGATTGCCTTGTGGAGTGAATAACAACACTGTTTGTATTCTGCCATATTCCTAGTCACCTTGCCATGGTTAAATGCGGTGGTTCGCGCTTTCAGTTTTGCGCGAATGCTGCCATCTATCCATGGTTTCTGGTTAGGGTAGGTTTTAATAGTCACAGTGGGTACGACATCTCCTATACACTTCCTGATATACTCAGTTACGGTATCAGTGTATTCGTCTAAATCATTTTCGCAAGCTACCCGGAACATATCCCAGTCCACGTGATCAAAACAATCCTGAAGCGGGGATTCCGATTGGTCAGACCAGCGTTGAATAGTCCTTAGCATGGGTACTTCCTGTTTGAGTTTCTGCCTATAGGAAGGGAGAAGCGAAATAGAGTTGTGGTCAGATTTGCCGAAAGGAGGGCGGGGGAGGGCCTTGTAAGCATTGCGGATGTTTGAATAACAGTGGTCTAGTGTTTTAGCAGCGTGGGTACTACACTCGATATGTTGATAGAACTTCGGCAGCCTAGTCCCCAAATTTGCTTTGTTAAAATCCCCAGCTACAATAAATGTCGCCTCAGGATATGTGGTTTCCAGTTTTCATAAAGTCCAGTGAAGTTCTTCGAGGGCCGTCGTGGTATCGGCTTGAGGGGGAATATAAACGGCTGTGGCTATAACGGAGGAAAATTCTCTTGGGAGATAATACGGTCGGCATTTGATTGTGAGGTATTCTAGGTCGGGTGAACAAAAGGACTTGCCCTGAGCTCATCAACTTTGTTATACAAAGACTGAACATTAGCGAGTAATATACTCAGAAGCGGTGGGTGATGTGCGCACATCCTAAGTCGAACCAGCTGGCCGCCTCAAGTGCCTCTCTGCCGGCGATGTTTTGGGTCGGCCTCTGGAATCAGTTCAATTGCTCTGAGGAGAGCGAACAAAGGATCTGCTTTGGGGAAGTCGTATTCCTGGTCGTAATGCTGGTAGTCTGGTGAGTTACCGCCGCTCTGATATCCAATAGTTCTTCCCGGCTGTATGTAATGACACAAAATATTTCCAGTTAATAATATAAAAAAAAATACATAAAAAAACAAAATAACTCAAAGTTTCCTAAGAGCTAGTCGCGAGGCTGCCATCTCCGCCGGCACCATTGTTCGAATGCTCGTTATATTTTGAATGCTTAGCAGGACAGCAAATTGTCCAATTCACGCACTTATCAAGAGAACATGCCTGCTCATCCATACTGCCTCTGATCTGGCGGACTCACTAAACACAAATGCTTAGTTTGTAAATGATGTGTGAGTGTTGGAGTGTGGCCCTGGCTATCCACAAATTTTAAAAACATGAAAATCATGCCGTCTGGTTTGTTTAATATATAGAATTTGAAATGATTTATACTTTTACTTTTGATACTTAAGTAGTTTAAAAAAAAAGTAGTGTTTTACTGGGTGACTTTCACTTTTACTTGAGTCCTTTTTTATTAAGGTATCTTTACTTTTACTCAAGTATGACAATTGGGTACTTTTTCCACCACTGGCAACAGGATAGATAATAAACAGTAGCAGCAGCGCATGTGATAAGTCAAAAGAGTTAGTGCAAAAAGGGTAATTGCAGATAGTCCGGGTAGCTATTGATTAACTATTTAACTAACTATTTAGCAGTCTTATGGCTTGTGGATAGAAGCTGTTCAGGGTCCTGTTGGTGCCAGACTTGGTGCATCGGTACCACTTGCCGTGCGGTAGTAGAGAGAACAATCTATGACTTGGGTGGCTGAAGTCTTTGACAATTTTTAGGGCCTTCCTCTGACACTGCCTGGTATAGAGGTCCTGGATGGCAGGTAGCTTAGCCCCAGTGCTTTCAACATCTCTCTCTTTCGATCCCTTGCTCTTTTTTCTCTGGATTTTTCACTTTCTTTGTTACTCCCTTTCTTCCTTTCTCTCTCACCTCTCTCTCTAGGTTCCTGCAGGACCTGGAGCACAGGCTGGAGGAGGACATCTTGCGTTTTGACGTGTCTGACATCGTCCTGGCCCACTGTCCCGCCCTGCGAAGGGTCTACCTCCCCTACGTGACCAACCAGGCCTACCAGGAACAGACCTACCAGCGCATGTTGTGAGCAGTCTTACTTTGTTTGTATTTCTATTTTGCTTTGTTGCACATTTGAGACTGTAAGTATAATGCTTGCAAATTATGTTTCTCAGTGCCTAGTACACACACTCAAATTGTCAGTTTATACATTTGGTGTGCAGGTTTCTGTTCCATCCCAGCACTAACACACCTGGTTCAACTAATCATCAAGTGGTCCTCTGTAGCTCAGCTGGTAGAGCACGGCGCTTGTAACGCCAAGGTAGTGGGTTCGATCCCCGGGACCACCCATACACAAAAATGTATGCACGCATGACTGTAAGTCGCTTTGGATAAAAGCGTCTGCTAAATGGCATATTATTATTATTATTATTATTATTAAGACCAAGTGTGTTAGTGCTGGGTTGGAACAAAACCCTGTAGCTCTTCAGAAACAGGGTTCATGACCACAGATATACACTACATCTCCAATCCATACCAGTGAAGGTTTTTCCAACCATATTGCTAGATTTTAAGTGTTGTATCTTTTCTCTGTAGACAGGAGAATACTCGCTTCCCAGGCATCCTGGCTCGTTTGGAAGAAGACCCCATCTGCCAGCGTCTTCCCCTCGCCTCCTTCCTCATCCTCCCCTTCCAGAGGATCACACGGCTCAAGATGCTGGTGGAGGTACGATAGAGCTCCCTTGTTCACCATAGAATTAAACTATTCATGACTGGCTGTAGGGACAAAACAATTACTCTACCTTACATCAAGTTACTGACCAGCGAATAGGCAACTATACAGCATCAAGCTTTGCAGTGTCCTGAGGTGAAAGTTGAGATCCAAAATGTTCTACCTTCCTTCTATCTTATAGAATATCCTAAAGAGGACAACACCAGGCTCTATGGATGAGGACACAGCCACCAAGGCCTTCAATGAGCTGAAAAAGGTAGCAGAAAATACACCATAAGTTTAAGTTAGGCCAAATTCTGGTCATTATATAAATAAACAAAATAAAGAATAGACATTACATAGACAGTGCAGTGCATTTTTCAGAAATGATTAAACTTTTTACTAATAGACTATATTGCCTAAAACATTGAAATAACCGTTCTTATCACAACAGATTATAAAGGAATGTAACTCCAGCGTGCAATCAATGAAGAGGATGGAAGAGCTCATTCACCTCAATAAGAAGATCCACTTTGAGGGCAAGGTAGATTAAAACATCTCTCATTAGGAACAACCTTATTCATTCTCAGTACACCTACTGTATATTCATGTACAGCATGTTCCCCTTTCCCCTATCCACTGCTGGGAATTAATGGTTTTGGACAACAACAAATCCTATTTCTTATTATTGCCATAGGATGGGTTAACCATATAACATTTGTCCATTGTAGATTACAAGTAAAGAAACCACATGCCTCTAAACCCAGTAATAATTAAATAATTGTTCATTCATGCTCATTAAACACATACATCTCCCCTTTTAGATATTCCCTCTGATCTCCCAGTCTCGCTGGCTGGTCAAACATGGAGAACTGCTGGAAGTGGACACGCAGACCATGAGTATTTCCGGGACAAAGTTCAAGTTGCCCACAAAGCCTGTGTACCTGCATCTGTTCAATGACTGTCTTCTGCTGTCCAGGAGGAAGGAGTGAGTACTAACAATGTACAATGTAGAGGGAGAATAGAAAAAAAACAGTGTTTTATATGTATGGCGTTATGTCATGCTACAGTATGCTAAACTATGCTCTGCTACGCTATGCAACACTATGTATGGCGTTACTGTATGTCGTAAATGTTGGTTGATTGAGTGATGCATGGCATACCTTGACAAATTCCTGTTTCTGGTCTGTCTGCAGCACGTGGAAGTTCATGGTGTTTGTTCACGCTAAGATCGGGCAGCTGAAGGTGAAGGACCTCAGTCAGAAGCTCCAGGGCATCTCAGGTTTCATCTTCCACCTGCAGCTGTGTGAGGGCCAGCAGCTCAAACACCAGATCCTACTCAAGGCCCACACGGAGTAAGCTAGTATACATACCACTATCATGATATGTAATGGTAGTGATAATGTAGGAACTGACAGCCTCTACGTGGGTTTTGTTTCTTCCCAGGAGTGGGAAACAGAGATGGATCACAGCCATGTTCCCCTCTGATCCATTGGAAGATATTGAGCAGGCCAATGAGAATGATGGTGAGTAGCTGCTTTATCAATAGTCTGCATAAGCAGTCACATCTTGCAGTGCTGAATAAGTATTTCAATGACTTATAAACCAACCTCAGTCATGTCACTGAGCTTCTATTGTTTCATTTACTGTAACTTGGAAAATATTGCATTACTTTTTAAAAAGTTTAAAAAATAGATTTTTACGGAAGTACAGCCTTTTCATTAATTTATAAACCTTTGGTTGTTTCTCCTCTCAGATCTTTCCCAAGTTCAATGCATCAAGAGCTACCAGGCCCAGGAGCATGATGAGCTAACATTGGAGAAGGCTGATATTCTTCAAGCCAAGACCATTACAAGTGACGGTGAGAAACTCCCTTTGGCAAGCTCACATTAAACTCTATCATCATAAGTATAAACTTTAAAAGGCAATAAAATAAAATCAGTAAAATAAAATAAAAACAGTTTACATTTTCTCCTTTACACTAAAAGTGGTTCATAACACTTTTCTATCATGTGTCAAACCCAAAGTTTGAGTCTAAAACATTTAGACCACCACAAGTGATAATGTCCCTGGGTGTCGTGTATTGTGTATCCACAGGCTGGGTGGAGGGCATTCGGCTGTCAGACGGGGAGCGGGGCTGGTTCCCGAAAACCAACGTGGAGGAGATCACATGTCGCAGTGCGCGTCTCCGCAACCTCAGAGAAAACATCCGCATTAAGTGTGTCACACAGAAGCTGGAAGAGGAGCTCTTTTAAGTGTCCTTTCCATCCTGCAGCTTTTCATTTATGCTTGGAATGATCAATCAAACAGTGCAACAACTCTCAACCCAAGTATCCATTAGACCCAGCTTTTACGCAACACCAGTTATACAATAGCTGAGCAGTTTTAGATTATCTGGATGTGGGAGCTTTATCTAGTCTGCAGGTGCTCATAAGGGCATTCTTTTTGTCATAGCTTGAGCATAAGCAATATTCTTAGGCAATATCGTTATGCAGCTGCGTAGCAGTAATTTTCTTTCACTCATGCTTGCTATGACTGCATAGACAGTGCCTTGCAAAAGTATTCATCCCCCTTGGTGTTTCGCCTATTTTGTTGCAGTACAACCTGTAATTTAAATAGATTTTTATTTGGATTTCATGTAATGGACATACACAAAATAGTCAAAATTGGTGAAGTGAAATGAAAAAAATTACTTGTTTCAAAAAATTCAAAAAAATAAATAACGGAAAGGTGGTGTGCGCATATGTATTCACCCCTTTGCTATGAAGCCCCTAAATAAGATCTGGTGCAACCAATTACCTTCAGAAGTCACATAATTAGTTAAATAAAGTCCACCTGTGTGCAATCTAAGTGTCACATGATCTCAGTATATATACACCTGTTCTGAAAGGCCCCAGAGTCTGCAACACCACTAAGCAAGGGGCACCACCAAGCAAGCGGCACCATGAAGAACAAGGAGCTCTCCAAACAGGTCAGGGACAAAGTTGTGGAGAAGTACAGATCAGGGTTGGGTTATAACAAAATATCAGAAACTTTGAACATCCCACGGTGCACCATTAAATCCATTATTAAAAAATTGAAAAAATATGGCACCACAACAAACCTGCCAAGAGAGGGCCGCCCATCAAAACTCACGGACCAGGCAAGGAGGGCATTAATCAGAGAGGCAACAAAGAGACCAAAGATAACCCTGAAGGAGCTGCAAAGCTCCACAGCGGAGATTGGAGTATCTGTCCATAGGACCACTTTAAGCTGTACATTCCACAGAGCTGGGCTTTACGGAAGAGTGGCCAGAAAAAAGCCATTGCTTAAAGAAAAAAATAAGCAAACAGGTTTGGTGTTCACCAAAAGGCATGTGGGAGACTCCCCAAACATATGGAAGAAGGTACTCTGGTCAGATTAGACTAAAATTGAGCTTTTTGTCCATCAAGGAAAACGCTATATCTGGCGCAAACCCAACACCTCCCATCACCCTGAGAACACCATCCCATGGTGGTGGCAGCATCATGCTGTGGGGATGTTTTTCATCGGCAGGGACTGGGAAACTGGTCAGAATTGAAGGAATGATGCTAAATGATGCGCTATATACATGGAAAGTCTTGAGGGAAACCTGTTTCAGTCTTCCAGAGATTTGAGACTGGGACGGAGGTTCACCTTCCAGCAGGACAATGACCCTAAGCATACTGCTAAAGCAACACTCAAGTGGTTTATGGGGAAGCATTTAAATGCCCAGACCTCAATCCAATTGAGAATCTGTGGTATGACTTAAATATTGCTGTACACCAGCAGAACCCATCCAACTTGAAGGAGCTGGAGCAGTTTTGCCTTGAAGAATAGGCAAAAATCCCAGTGGCTAGATGTGCCAAGCTTATAGAGACATACCCCAAGAGACTTGCAGCTGTAATTGCTGCAAAAGGTGGCTCTACAAAGTATTGACTTTGGCGGAGTGAAGAGTTATGCACGCTCAAGTTTTCTGTTTTTTTGTCTTATTTCTTGTTTGTTTCACAATAAAAAAATATTTTGCATCTTCAAAGTGGTAGGCATGTTGTGTAAATCAAATGATACAAACCCCCAAAAAATCAATTTTAATTCCAGGTTGTAAGGCAACAAAATAGGAAAAATGCCAAGGGGGGTGAATACTTTTGCATGCCACTGTACATCTACTGTAACACAACTACTGGAATACTGTATCAGAAACCAAGTGTTTTTCTTTGCCCCCAAGCACTGTAATAGGAATAAACATCATTTCAGACATCAGTTTCAACAAAACATTAAGAACTATAGTGTTTGTACATCTTCCCTGTCTTTTGACTTTCACTGTTAGTCACACCCTATTGACAATAAGAGATGTTTACGCGTAGACAAAAATTAAGATAGAAGCACATTATATTATTGACCAACCACTACTACCATGCAGATGTTCACCATTCCAGTGGCACAAAATATTTTTTAAATATACAAAATGTACGTTTGTTGGATTGCTAAGTTGTTAGTACTAATTTAAATGATTGCTGTTGCAGCATGTGTATTTGTTTATGCTCCTATAGCTGGTTATTCTCTATGGAGATAATTATGTAAATGTACATACTGTAGATGTACTTGTTTAAATGAATATATGGCTAATTTACTATTATGACTGTAATTTATAAGAGCCAGGGTCTGCCAAAAACATGCCATACCATTTTAACAAATCTTAGAACTTACAGTAACTGAGAAATATAGATAACAAAATACTAATAATACATGTGAGCTACTTGAGATTTCTGGTTGTGAACACAGTACTGTAAATGTTTTACCCCTGAAATAAATGCACATACTTGTCAGTGTTTTATATGACCACTGCTGAAAATGTTTCATACAATAATATGTAGGTGAAGCCTGAATGTTTGTGACCATGACATAAAGTTTGAGTTACTTGTACTGTACATATAGGTATTGTACATAATAAGTACACAATTTGGGAAAGGTATTTAGTCACTTTTTATTGAGTCCATACATTTCAAGAACATTCATAACAGAAAATATGGAAAAGGTAATGAACAGCACTACATTTTCTATTTGGTTCACAGAGATTTGACGAAAAATATTGTACAACCAGTTCACTTAAAGTCAACTTCCTATTTAGCCTATTCATTGCTATTACATTCACTAGTGAAGCAGAGTAATACAGACAGTGGCCTACAGCAGAAGAATTCTCTCCAGAATCTCTTTATTTCATTGTACCAGACTGAATAACATATACAGTGCCTTGGGAAAGTATTCATACCCCTTTACTTTTTCCACATTTTGTTGTGTTACAGCCTGAATTTAAAATTGATTAAATTGAGATTTTGTGTCACTGGCCTACACAGAATAACTCATAATGTCAAAGTGGAATTCTGCTGCTAATTAATTAAAAATGAAGAGCTGAAATGTCTTGAGTCAATAAATATTCAACAACTTTGTTATGACAAGCCTAAATAAGTTCAGGAGTAAACATTTGCTTAACAAGTCAAATAAGTTGCATGGCTAACATATGGAATTGTTTTAAGATGGTCATACCAAGGATCATTTAGCTATTAGATTTTGAATTTTAAGCCCCTTAAGGTATAAAAAAAATATATACAGTGAGGGAAAAAAGTATTTGATCCCCTGCTGATTTTGTACGTTTGCCCACTGACAAAGACTTGATCAGTCTATAATTTTAATGGTAGGTTTATTTGAACAGTGAGAGACAGAATAACAACAAAAAAATCCAGAAAAACGCATGTCAAAAATGTTATAAATTGATTTGCATTTTAATGAGGGAAATAAGTATTTGACCCCTTTGCAAAACATTACTTAGTACTTGGTGGCAAAACCCTTGTTGGCAATCAATGAGGGAAATAGGTATTTGGCCCCCTCTCAATCAGAAAGATTTCTGTCTCCCAGGTGTCTTTTATACAGGTAACGAGCTGAGATTAGGAGCACACTCTTAAAGGGAGTGCTCCTAATCTCATCTTGTTACCTGTATAAATGACACCTGTCCACAGAAGTAATCAATCAATCAGATTCCAAACTCTCCACCATGGCCAAGACTATCTCCATATATCCATATATCCATATATACTTCCATTCATTTGTTTTAACTGGTACCGGGGTCCTTCAGAGGAGTCTTGTGAGGCTTGTGGGTGTCCTACAGAGGGGTCATATTAGTGGGTTGCCCAAACTGTTCGGACGCTACAGACAGAAGTTGGCAGAAGAGGCTGTACCGAATTCAGACGAGCCCCGTGAAGCTTGTGGGGTTCGTAGAGCAAAACCGTTCGGACGCTTTAGACCTTTTCTTGAGAAGACCGATTTTCGGAATGTCTTATGGTCTGACAAACATCGCTCTAGCTCTGCCACCTTTTACTGCAGATGAGGAAGGGTGATATTGGCAGATACGGTGGATTGAGACACAGCCCATGTTTTATTATGTTAATTAGATTTCCACAGGGCCGCGTAAATTGTAGGAGAAGGGTTAATTACACTTTGGATGGTGTATCAATACAAAGATACAGGCGTCCTTCCTAACTCAGTTGCCGGAGAGGAAAGAAACCACACAGGAATTTCAGCATGAGGCCAATGGTGACTTTAAAACAGTTAATGGTTGTGATGGGAGAAAACTGAGGATGGATCAACAACATTGTAGTTACTCTACAATACCAACCTAAATGACGGAGTGAAAAGAAGGAACAGAATAAAAATATATTTGCAATAAGGCACTAAAGTGGGGGGCAGGTAGCTTAGTGGGTAAGAGCGTTGTGCCAGTAACCGAAAGGTCGCTGGTTCTAATCCCCGAGCCGATTAGGTGAAAAATCTGTCGGTGCCTTTGAGCAAGGCACTTAACCCTAATTGCTCCTGTAAGTCGCTCTGGATAAGAGCATCTGCTAAATGACTAATTATTTATTATTTATTTATTTAAAGTAAAATTGCAAAACATTTGGCAAATAAATTAATTATGTCCTGAATACAAATTCAACACAACACATCACTAAGTACCACTCTTCATATTTTCAAGCATGGTGGTGGCTGCATCATGTTATGGGTCTGCTTGTCATCGACAAGGACTAGGGAGTTTTTTAGGATACAAATAAATGGAATAGAGCTAAGCACAGGCAAAATCCTGGAGGAAAACCTGGTTCAGTCTGCTTTCCAACAAACACTGGGAGACAAATTCACCTTTCAGCAGGACAATAACCTAAAAGATAAGGCCAAATATACACTGGAGTTGCTTACCAAGACGACATTGAATGTTCCTGAGTGGCATAGTTACAGTTTTGACTTAAATCGGCTTGAAAATCTATGGCAAGACTTGAAAATGGCTGTCTAGTAATGATCACCATCCAATTTTGACAGAGCTTGAAGAATTTTAAAAATAATAACTCAAATCAAATGTTATGTCACATGCGCCGACTACAACAGGTGAAATGCTTACTTACAAGCCCTTAACCAACAATGCAGTTTTAAGAAAATAAGTGTTAAGTAAAACATTTAAATAAATAATTAAAGAGCAGCAGTAAAATAACAGTAGCAAGGCTATATACAGGGGGTACCGGTACAGATGTGTGGGGGCACAAGTTAGTCAAGGTAATTGAAGTAATATGTACATGTAGGTAGAGTTAAAATGACTATGCATAGATAATAAACAGAGAGTGGCCACAATGCAAATAGTCTGGGTAGCCATTTGATTAGCTGTTCAGGAGTCTTATGGCTTGGGGGTACAAGCTATTAAGAAGCCTTTTGGACCTAGACTTGGCGCTACGGTACCGCTTGCCGTGCGGTAGCAGAGAGAACAGTCTATGACTAGGGTGACTGGAGTCTGACAATTTTTAGGGCCTTCCTATGTCTCCGCCTGGTATAGAGGTCCTGGATGGCAGGAAGCTTGGCCCCAGTGATGTACTGGGCCGTATGCACTACCCTCTGTAGTGCCTTGCGGTCGGAGGCTGAGCAGTTGCCATACTATGCAGTGATGCAACCAGTCAGGCTGCTCTCGATGGTGCAGCTGTAGAACTTTTTGAGGATCTGAGGACCCATGCCAAATCTTTTCAGTCTCCTTTGTCGTGCCCTCTTCACGACTGATGTGAACACCAAGGAACTTGAAGCTCTCAACCTGCTCCACTACAGCCCTGTCGATGAGAATGGGGGCGTGCTCAGTCCTCCTTTTCCTGTAGTCCACAATCATCTCCTTTGTCTTGATCACGTTGAGGGAGAGGTTGTTATCCTGGCACCACACGGCCAGGTCTCCGACCTCCTCCCTATAGGCTGTCTCATCATTGTCGGTGATCAGGCCTACCACTGTTGTGTCGTCGGCAAACTTAATGATGGTGTTGGAGTCGTGCCTGGCCATGTAGTCATGGGTGAACAGGGAGTACAGGAGGGGACTGATCACGCACCCCTGAGGATCAGCGTGGCAGATGTGTTGTTACCTACCCTTACCACCTGGGGGCAGCCCGTCAGGAAGTCCAGGATCCAGTTGCAGAGGGAGGTGTTTAGTCCCAGGGTCCTTAGCTTAGTGATGAGCTTTGAGGGCACTATGGTGTTGAACGCTGAGCTGTAGTCAATGAATAGCATTCTCATGTAGGTGTTCCTTTTGGCCAGGTGGGAAAGGGCAGTGTGGAGTGCAATAGAGATTGCATCATCTGTGGATCTGTTGGGGCGGTATTCAAATTGGAGTGGGTCTAGGGGTTCTGGGATAATGGTGTTGATGTGAGCCATGACCAGCCTTTCAAAGCACTTCATGGCTACAGACGTGAGTGCTACGGGTCGGTAGTCATTTAGGCAGGTTACCTTAGTGTTCTTGGGCACAGGGACTATGGTGGTCTGCTTGAAACATGTTGGTATTACAGACTCAGTTAGGGACAGGTTGAAAATGTCAGTGAAGACACTTGTCAGCTGGTCAGCGCATGCTCGGAGTACACGTCCTGGTAATCCGTCTGACCTGTTTAAAGGTCTTACTCACATCGGCTACGGAGAGAGTGATCACACAGTCGTCCGGGAAACAGCTGATGCTCTCATGCATGCTTCAGTGTTGCTTGCCTCGAAGCGAGCATAGACGTAATTTAGCTCGTCTGGTAGGCTCGTGTCACTGGGCAGCTCGCGGCTGTGCTTCCATTTGTAGTCTGTAATAGTTTGCAAGCCCTGCCACATCCAATGAGCATCGGAGCCGGTGTAGTACGATTCAATCTTAGTCCTGTATTGACGCTTTGCCTGTTTGATGGTTCGTCAAGGGCATAGCGGGATTTCTTATAAGCGTCCGGGTTAGAGTCCCACTCCTTGAAAGCGGCAGCTCCACCCTTTAGCTCAGTGCGGATGGTGCCTGTTCCATGGCTTCTGATTGGGGTATGTTCGTACGGTCACTGTGGGGACGACGTCATCGATGCACTTATTGATGAAGCCAGTGACTGATGTGTACTCCTCAATGCCATCGGAAGAATCCCAGGAACATATTCCAGTCTGTGCTAGCAAAACAGTGTAATAATACAATCCATGTGTGCAAAACACTTAGAGACTTACCCAGAGAGACTCACAGCTGTAATGGCTGCCAAAGGTGATTCCAACACGTATTGACTCAAGGGTGTGAATGCTTATGTAAATGAGATATTTCATTTTCATTTTCAATAAATTTGCTAACATTTCTAAAAACATGTTTTCACTGTCATTATGAGGTATTGTGTGTAGATTGGTGAGATTTTTATGTAGATTGGTGAGATTTTTTATAATATGTAATCAATTTTTGAATTCAGGCTATAACACAACCAAATGTGCAATAAGTCAAGGGGTATGAATACTTTCTGAAGGCACTGTATACATGCTATCCACAAATGCAGTATCTATTGATGAAAAGAGGCATGTGTCTTCTATTTTGTGAGGCAATTGGTCAGTTAGTCTCATTGATGTGCAATTATAATTGGTTCCTGGGACTCCTTTCTGCTCCTTTGTTTTTTTGGCATGAGGGGTGGAGCCGGGTGGTTTGAGGTAGCTTGAAGTTTATTTTCCGGCTATTGAGGAAAGAAATGAACACTACTGAATCGTTGCGACTACTTTTGGGTCTCTAATTTGATTTTTTCTGTAAAATCCGTTCAAGACTAAGCTAACTCATTTTTAGCATCCTGCATCTTCACAAAATGGATAAGCATGTATGGCTCAATTGGAATCAATACAGGCAAAAGGCTAGCCACACAGTTTTCCCGATTCATTTGTTTTGTTATTTTAATGGGACTGTAATGGTACTTTACCTGTTGTAGCTGGAAGATCCAGTTCTGATAGTCTTCAGGACAGGTGCAGGATACCTGCAGCGGCTCCATCAGTTCACCTGAGCCACACAACATACAATAGAAGTACAGTGCTCTTCACCAATGCATCCAGCAACACTTGATACAGTTGAATTGATACATATCTCTTTACAGTTTGGAGGGTCAATTTAGAGTCAATTTCCCTCATTATGCAAACATGTTAGAGCAGAATGACATGTAGTGTTTTGTATATAACCTGTTAACTCCAACTCCAGCCTCCCAGGTAATGCAGACCTCTCCACGGCTGTGATGCTTTTCCGAGGCAATCTACCCTAAAGTGTTATGAAATACAGGTTGAAGTGCCATTTATCTTGAATTGAGAAAGGTTAGTATTGGATCAACTCTATAATTTACAATATCTCCTAAACTGTACATCATAGTATATCACACCAACATCTACTTCATAGCTACAATTGGCAAACTTGGTAAGGTCACCAGGTTCATACTGTAGGAGTTACAGTGAAATTGTTCCTAGAGAACATAATTTGACTGTACCTCATATATGACACTGAGGCTCTTGTTATCCACAGAGAGCAGGAGGACATCTTGAGGGAAGAGTACCAGAAGTTGCTGATGGAGACCCTTCAAAAATCGATCAACATTGTCACACTCTTTCTTTTATCTCAAGTCCACTATGATAATTATCATTAGCATAATAATATTAGCATAATCAAGTATTATTATTAGCCCTATGATCATTATTGTTATCAATAGCATATTTATTAGCATTAGCATTATTTATATTTTCTGTCTTTATGTAGCAGATACTTGTGATGAGGTACTGGACTAGTGTAGGATTATTTTCAGAGTATTTGTTTCATTTGAATGGCATGCATACCATGTGTTGAATCTGTTTTAGAACAAACCTTTGTGTTTGCCTAATTCTGGAAATATGTCATTCATTATTTACCTGGGAATTAATGATCTGTTATTTGATTGACCAATGAATTAATTGTGTTGTAATAGCTTTATTGAAACAGGAAGTGACAGACAATTCCTGAGTTTTGGCTAATGGTATTCAATTGGGTCTGTCTAAATAGTAATCCATCTCCATCCACTCTTTGTGCTTAAAGGAAGTCATCCATCCAACTGTATGCGGCCCCTAAAGTTACAATGGTGGCAGCAGAGTGGTGCTATTTTTGATCGATTTGTGATTTTTGGTGAGTTCTATCTCTGGACATTGTGGATAGCTAAATTCACCTACCTAGCTTACCACTTGCATAAAATACTATTGAGGTCTTGAGCAGCTGTTGAGCTTTTTTGCTTTATGCTGGAGATAGAAGGGATTTCAGATTTTTTGGAGGTTATTCTGCCACCATTTCCACATAGTTTTGCCTTTTTCATTCCAGTACAACATGCCTATTTGAATCAGTTAGCATGGCTAACATGACAGCTATCAAGACCCCTTAAAATTGACTTTAGAGTACTGGTGAGTACACAAGTTACAGTGTGGGTTGTGTTACCTGTCTCTGTGTGTTGATGATGTGGACCATGGATATGTATACTGGCTGGCCCATGTGCTGGATGGGGGCCCCTTCCCACTGCTGTATTGGGGCTTGCAGTAAATACGTTTTCAGTTCCTCTTTCTTCCAGCTCTCATCGCAGGGTACCTACAGTAAGTGACAACAGAAACGTAGCTTCATATTTGGAGAGTTTTGCCAATGATAATTATTTGTAACAAATGTCCTTTCATGATGATGCATTTAGCTCATTAGTGTAATATACAGTGGGGGAAAAAAGTATTTAGTCAGCACCAATTGTGCAAGTTCTCCCACTTAAAAAGATGAGAGAGGCCTGTCATTTTCATCATAGGTACACGTCAACTATGACAGACAAAATGAGGTTTTTTTTCTCCAGAAAATCACATTGTAGGATTTTTAATGAATTTATTTGCAAATTATGGTGGAAAATAAGTATTTGGTCAATAACAAAAGTTTCTCAATACTTTGTTATATACCCTTTGTTGGCAATGACACAGGTCAAACGTTTTCTGTAAGTCTTCACAAGGTTTTCACACACTGTTGCTGGTATTCCTCCATGCAGATCTCCTCTAGAGCAGTGATGTTTTGGGGCTGTCGCTGGGCAACACAGACTTTCAACTCCCTCCAAAGATTTTCTATGGGCTTGAGATCTGGAGACTGGCTAGGCCACTCCAGGACCTTGAAATGCTTCTTACGAAGCCACTCCTTCGTTGCCCGGGCGGTGTGTTTGGGATCATTGTCATGCTGAAAGACCCAGCCACGTTTCATCTTCAATGCCCTTGCTGATGGAAGGAGGTTTTCACTCAAAATCTCACGATACATGGCCCCATTCATTCTTTCCTTTACACAGATCAGTCGTCCTGGTCCCTTTGCAGAAAAACAGCCCCAAAGCATGATGTTTCCACCCCCATGCTTCACAGTAGGTATGGTGTTCTTTGGATGCAACTCAGCATTCTTTGTCCTCCAAACACGACGAGTTGAGTTTTTACCAAAAAGTTCTATTTTGGTTTCATCTGACCATATGACATTCTCCCAATCCTCTTCTGGATCATCCAAATGCACTCTAGCAAACTTCAGACGGGCCTGGACATGTACTGGCTTAAGCAGGGGGACACGTCTGGCACTGCAGGATTTGAGTCCCTGGCGGCGTAGTGTGTTACTGATGGTAGGCTTTGTTACTTTGGTCCCAGCTCTCTGCAGGTCATTCACTAGGTCCCCCCGTGTGGCTCTGGGATTTTTGCTCACCGTTCTTGTGATAATTTTGACCCCACGGGGTGAGATCTTGCGTGGAGCCCCAGATCGAGGGAGATTATCAGTGGTCTTGTATGTCTTCCATTTCCTAATAATTGCTCCCACAGTTGATTTCTTCAAACCAAGCTGCTTACCTATTGCAGATTCAGTCTTCCCAGCCTGGTGCAGGTCTACAATTTTGTTTCTGGTGTCCTTTGACAGCTCTTTGGTCTTGGCCATAGTGGAGTTTGGAGTGTGACTGTTTGAGGTTGTGGACAGGTGTCTTTTATACTGATAACAAGTTCAAACAGGTGCCATTAATACAGGTAACGAGTGGAGGACAGAGGAGCCTTGTCACGATCGTCTAGTAGCGAAGTAGACCAAGGCGCAGCGTGTGAAATAAACATGACTTTATTTAATTAAAGCACGAAAACCAAAACAAAACACGACTCGTGAAGTCCACGGTAAAACATACCGACACGGAACAAAAACCCACAACCCCAAGGTGAAAACAGACAGTATAAATATGGCTCCCAATCAGAGACAACGAGCCAACAGCTGACACTCGTTACCTCTGATTGGGAGTCACTCATTCAAACAAAGAAATACAACCACATAGAACAACCCAACCAAACAGAACCCCACTAAACGAACACACCCTGGCTCAACATACAAAGTCCCGGAGCCAGAGCGTGACAGTACCCCCCCCTAAAGGCGCGGACTGCGACCGCGCCTCAAAACCCCAAACAGGGGAGGGCTGGGTGGGCATTTCTCCTCGGAGGCGGCTCCGGCTCCGGGCTTGACCACCACCCTTCCACAATCCCCCCGTAGCGCCCCCGGTCCGGTCTGACCCCGCTGGCTGGATCTGGACCGGACATAGACGGAGCGGATTGCTCAAACTCCGTAGTGGAGTAGCTGACCTGATCAGGCACCGGACTGACGACGCGCACCCCTGGCTTGGCGCGTGAGGCAGGAACGGACCGGACCTGGCTGACGATACGCACCCTTGGCTTGGTGCGTGGAGCCGGAACGGACCTCACCAGGCTGACGACTCGCATCCTTGGCTTGGTGCGAGTAGCAGGAATGGGCTGGATCAGGCTGACGACTCGCACCCTTGGCTTGGTGCGAGTAGCAGGAACGAGCTGGACCAGGCCGACGACGCACCCCGTAGGCTTGGTGCGTGGAGCAGGAACAGGCCGGGCTGGGCTGGCGACGCACACCGTAGGCTTAGTGCGTGGAGCAGGAACAGGTCGGACAGGGCTGGCGACGCACACCGTAGGTTTGGTGCGTGGAGCAGGGACAGGCCGGGCCGGGCTGACGACGCACCCCGTAGGCTTGGTGCGTGGAGCAGGAACAGGCCGGGCTGGGCTGGCGACGCACACCGTAGGCTTCGTGCGTGGAGCAGGAACAGGCCGGGCTGGGCTGGCGACGCACACCGTAGGTTTGGTGCGTGGAGCAGGAACAGGCCGGGCAGGGCTGGCGACGCACACCGTAGGTTTGGTGCGTGGAGCAGGGACAGGCCGGGCCGGGCTGACGACGCACCCCGTAGGCTTGGTGCGTGGAGCAGGGACAGGCCGAACAGGGCTGGCAACGCACACCGTAGGCTTCGTGCGTGGAGCAGGAACAGGCTGGACTGGGCTATGGAGACGGATAGGAGACCTGGAGTGAAGAGCTGCCACAACCCGTCCTGGCTGAATGCCTACCTTCACACACTCTGTGTGAGGCATCAGCACAGGATGTACAGGGCTGTGTACCCGTACTGGCATAACAGCACGTGACACCGGCGCAGGATATCCGGGACCGAGGAGAGGCACTGGAGGCCGCGAGCGCTGAGCCGGCACACTCCGTCCTGGCTGCATGCCCGCCTTCGCACAACACGTGCGGGGTGCTCGCACAGGACGTACCGGACTATGCCGGACCACTCGCGGCACAGTGCGCATCTCCGCATACCGCGGAACCTGCCCAGTCTCATGCTGCCATGCCTGAGTACGGGGAGTTGGCTCTGCTCTCCATCCAGGCTCCGCCAACCTGCCTTCTGGCCCCCAAAAGCCGGTGGCCTCCTCTCTTAATCTCCCAATCCGCCCTGTGGCAGCCTCCTGCTGCCCAGTCGCCCATGCCGTGTGCCCCCCCCTAAAAAATTCTTGGGGGTGCCTCTCGCATTTCCGACCACGGCCCGGTTGACGCCGCTTCTCCACTCCTGCCTGGGTCTCCCCCTTCATCGCCTTCCGGTACCGGATGGCCTCCTCCTCGGTAATCTGCCCCCAACCGAGGAGGACATCCACCAGCGTCACCTCCTGCGTGTGTTCCTGGACACGCTGCTTGGTCTTTGTATGGTGGGTTTTTCTGTCACGATCGTTGGTTAGAGAGGACCAAGGCGCAGCGTGTTGAGCGAACATACTTTAATAGTAAAGTGCACACACGAATACAAAACAATAAACGATACGTAACGTCCTCAGACAATGACTGACAAGGAACAAAAACCCACAACCCCCTGGTGAAAACAGACAGTATAAATATGGCTCCCAATCAGAGACAACGAGCCAACAGCTGACACTCGTTACCTCTGATTGGGAGTCACTCATTCAAACAAAGAAATACAACCACATAGAACAACCCAACCAAACAGAACCCCACTAAACGAACACACCCTGGCTCAACATACAAAGTCCCGGAGCCAGAGCGTGACAAGCCTCTTAAAGAAGAAGTTACAGGTCTGTGAGAGCCAGAAATCTTGCTCGTTTGTAGGTGACCAAATACTTATTTTCCACCATAATTTGCAAATAAATTCATTAAAAATCCTACAATGTGATTTTCTGGATTTATTTTTCTCATTTTGTCTGTCATAGTTGACGTGTACCTATGATGAAAATTACAGGCCTCTCATCTTTTTAAGTGGGAGAACTTGCACAATTGGTGGCTGACTAAATACTTTTTCCCCCCACTGTATGTCATATGTGCTATTTATATGTGCTATTAGATGTTGAAGTTGTGATCAAGCAAAGTGAACCTCACAATTGTTCAGACAGTTTAACATTTTGCAATGACATCTGTTTAGGACCTGTAATTTACTGTAAAAGGGGGTGGTTCTTATGGGGGGACGGGGGGGGGGGTGTTGATTGAATACCTTACCAGGTAAGACAGTACACAGTGGGAGGGGCTTAGCGGTTGGCTCATGGATTTGTATCTCCTCTCCTCCATGTGGTGCATCCATTTGTTCATCTCTGCTGCACTGGCACAGGTGAATACTTTGGAGTCCACCATTGGACCTAGAAGGGGGAGAGAGATGGTAGCCATGTTCAATAAATAATTAAACAATTTACTGTTGGCTTTGTGTCATACCTATGACCGTTGCACCGCTGTGATAAACCACAATAAATCATGCACCCTTGTCTATTAATGCTTTAATGAACTCACTGCATAATCATAATAGGACTCACCACTGATCTGGAACATGGTTTGTTTGTTGGAGTCCAGTGAGGTGGCTTGGAAAGACAGTCCAGAGAGAGGCAGCATGCCCTGAGAAAGAAGAAGCAACACACTGACTCCTAATTGTCCCTAGAATTTCCCTAGAATTTCTAAGCAAACAGCGGGAGGCAGGGCTTTCTCCTATAGATCTCCATTTTTATGGAACAGTCTGCCTACCCATGTGAGAGACGCAGACTCGGTCTCAACCTTTAAGTCTTTACTGAAGACTTATCTCTTCAGTAGGTCATATGATTGAGTGTAGTCTGGCCCAGGAGTGTGAAGGTGAACGGAAAGGCTGGAGCAACGAACAGCCCTTGCTGTCTCTGCCAGGCCGGTTCCCCTCTCCACTGGGGTTCTCTGCCTCTAACCCTGTTGCAGGGGCTGAGTCACTGGCCTGCTGGTGCTCTTTCATGCCGTCCCTGGGAGGGGTGCGTCACTTGAGTGGGTTGAGTTACTGACGTGATCTTCCTGTCTGGGTTGGCGCCCCCCCCCCCCCCTTGGTTTGTGCTGTGGTGGAGACCTCTGTGGGCTATACTCGGCCTTGTCTCAGGATTGTAAGTTGGTGGTTGGGGATATCCCTCTAGTGGTGCGGGGGCTGTGCTTTGGCGGAGTGGGTGGGGTTATATCCTTCCTGTTTGGCCCTGTCCGGGGGTTTCTTCGGATGGGGCCACAGTGTCTCCGGACCGCTCCTGTCTCAGCCTCCAGTATTTATGCTGCAGTAGTTTATGTGTCGGGGGGCTGGGGTTAGTTGGTTATACCTGGAGTACTTCTCCTGTCTTATCCAGTGTCCTGTGTGAATTTAAGTATGCTCTCTCTAATTCTCTCGTTCTCTCTTTCTCTCTGAGAACCTGAGCCCTAGGACCATACGTCAGGACTACCGGGCATGATGACACCCTGCTGCCCCCAGTCCGCCTGGCCTTGCTGCTATTCCAGTTTCAACTGTTCTGCCTGCGGCTACGAAACCCCTACCTGTCCCAGACCTGCTGTTTTCAACTCTAAATGATCGGCTATGAAAAGCCAACTGAGAGACCTGAGCCCTAGGACCATACGTCGGGACTACCGGCCGTGGTGACTCCTTGCTATCCCCAGTCCGCCTGGCCTTGCTGCTATTCCAGTTTAAACTGTTCTGCCTGCGGTTATGGAACCCCTACCTGTCCCAGACCTGCTGTTTTAAACTCTAATGATCGGCTATGAAAAGCCAACTGAGATTTATTCCTGATTATTATTTGACCATGCTTGTCACTTATGAACATTTTTGAACATCTTGGCATGGTTCTGTTATAATCTCCACCCGGCACAGCCAGAAGAGGACTGGCCACCCCTCATAGCCTGGTTCCTCTCTAGGTTTCTTCCTAGGTTTTGCCTTTCTAGGGAGTTTTTCCTAGCCACCGTGCTTCTACACCTGCATTACTAGCTGTTTGGGGTTTTAGGCTGGGTTTCTGTACAGCACTTCGAGATATTAGCTGATGTAAGAAGGGCTATATAAAATAAAATTGATTGATTGATTGATTGACTAGCCGGCCTTAGGTGAACGCATTTTACATTCAAGTTAAATGTTCAACATGCATGCATCTGCACAGTGTCGTTACAGTATTTCCCCATTCGTAAAGGAACCAACCTCGTAGATAAATTCATGGAGAGAGTGGTCCAGAGATAGGATCAACAAGTGGAAGGAGAACAGCACCAGATAGTGTTCACGTGTCTCCTATAGGAACATAAACAAACACATGAACAGAACATCAATATAGAAGTACTAGAGCCGGAACATAGACAGTGAGTGATGATTGACGTCTACAGTATATCTGAGCTTGTTGTAGTGAGATGTTACCTGTGTGTAGCTGTTGTGGAGAAACACCAGGGAGGAGTGCACTATCTCTCCATACATGTGTGCACTCTGGCCCTCCCAGTCACGGATGGGCTGGTTGTAGATTCTGTGGTGTAGCTCCTCTCTGCTCCTGCCCCATAGCACAACCTAGGGGAATAGAATAGAATACTTCACCTGTCTCATGTAAATGTAGATGTAGTGAGGAGTTTACATTAGTATACATGAGTATCCCTGTATCATTAATGTGATATAACAACTTTGACATAAAATAGTATGTTGATGTTTGGCACAAATACATTCACACTTGCAAGTGCCAATATGTGCACTCGAAAGGTGCGATCCGCTGTTGTTTCCTGTGTGATGAGTGCATTGCAGAACTTTTTCTATTTCTATATCTTAGTGTCACTTTCATACAGATGGCCACTCTCTCTCGCTCTCTCTATCTCTCTCACACACACACACATACACACAGACACACACACACTTTCCTCCTCCACTGACCTCCTGGTTGAGGTGTCTCACTGAAGGGTAGCGAGAGGGTGGACTGTCTTTTCCATTCCTCAAAGAGCGCTGAAGCCTGCTCTCTCCTAGATTCCATATCCTGAAACATTAACCATATCAGCAGTCAACCCCATATCACATTAACCACAATACCTTCTGATGTCAACATCTCACATTTATCTCACACTACTGTAACATCTCACAAAACTGTAGACCAATTTGCCCACCTCATTTATGAGCCAGCCATCTTGCCTGACCCCCCTCCACCCCAACAGTGTCCAGACATAAGCAGATTAAAGTGGGGTGCACATGAGGAGCAGACACCCACCATCTGACCCCCTCACATAAAGACCTGTTGCCCTCATTGGCCCATTTATCTGGTAGTAATACAGTAGCTACACACCCCTAAACCATTCCCTATGTGTGGCAACATTTCTGTCACATCTGTGTTTGTGCTTGAGTGTCCGTCTCTGTTTGTGCATGTGTCCCTTTGTGTTTGTGCTTGCATGCATGCGTGTGTGCGCCGACATGCATGAACTGTATGAATGCAGTGTGTGGGAACCTATTCATGCATGTCTGTCTCTATGTGTGTGTGCATACATTCATAAGTCTGTGCATGTGTGTGCGCGAACAAGCATCCTCGCACAAGCATCCTCACGCGTGTGCACAGTATGTGTTGCTGGTGGCTGATCCCTCGTCTTCTCACAGTTTGGGCATGTGAAGTCTGTGAGCTGCTATTGTGATTAGATTCTTGTTTCCCCCACTACCCACATGAGGGGATTTAGAGGCCTGGCCAGTGTTAGACCAGACTGGACAGGAGGGAGAGACGAGCGGTAGCATTGTCTGCTAATTAGCGAGACAATATCACCGGCCGCTCATGTCCTAATCACATTAGTGCCGCATCAGTATGTTCATGTCTGTTAAACAGAGTCCAAACTAGTGTTTCGCCTCTGTGTGTGCTTTTGTGTGTAAATGAAAATGACACAGATATATTATGTTTCATTGTTCAATAAAATATGCCCTCAAATGTCATTGTTTCTTTCTTAAGGAACTGAAGTTCTGAGGTGGTTGAAACTGCTAGCACACTTGTCAATGTGTGCACTGTTTTTACCCGTCACCCCAAGGCAAACGACACCACTTCCTCTCAATACCTCGTCAACCAAACAGACCTCGTTCTTATGACCTTTAATAAGCCAAAACCCAACAATAGGTACTATTTAATAGTATTGCTTCAAACTTTCCTAGAAAGCCAAGAGGCTCAGTATTTTACTGTTTGTTTAATCTAGATTCAGAGAAGTTGATATTGTGAAGCGTGTCCATACAGTTGTGACCATGCTTGATAGTCTTAGATGCCGTCATGTGTCATCAACATATTTAAAACCTCCACAGTCATTACATTTACGTCATTTAGCAGACGCTCTTATCCAGAGCGACCTACAGGAGCAATTAGGGTTAAGTGCCTTGCTCAAGGGCACATGGACAGGTTTTTCACCTAGTCGGCTCAGGGATTCGAACCAGCGACCTTCCAGTTACTGGCCCAACGCTCTTAACCGCAAGGCTACCTGCCCTGCATGTTTCCGAATTAAATTAAAATGTGATTGTGAGGTTGTAAAAAGCAGAATGGCAGTCTATCAAACTCAAACAGACCACTCCCATGAGGGATTGATAGGGTTCATGGTCTTCTGTTATACATCACAATATCAACAAAATAAGACTCACCCTGAGTTGTCAATCTCCAGGAGCTCGATCTCGTCAGGGCCCACCTCGTCAATCCCAGAATGTGTTCCTCTCTGAGTCACACTACAGCATCCCATGACCAGGTAGCCCTCTCCTCTCTCAGCCCAGTCGACTCCAGACAGACACAGAACTCCTTCCTTCACCCTCAGTCCCTAGTACACTAACTATAATGTACCATCTGCCTCCATCTGCACACATCCCCACAGCTTTGCGCTAAGACCAGACAGGGGGGATATGTAGAGAGAGGGAGGGGGGAAGGAGAGGAAAAGAGGACCGGCACGGTGCGTAGGGAAGAGGGGGCTATGTCGCTTAACTTCTCACTTCCCCATTTCTTCTAAAACACAAACCCTGAAATACCAAGAATAAGGTTCCAAAGCTTCTGAAATGAGTTGAGTCAAGAAGCAAAAAGCTGTGAGCAGCGTCACAGTGCACTCACTCTTCCTTGTTGTCAGTTTGCACGCAGAGAGCCACGCAACTTCCTTAGTGGCCTTTTCACTTTGACGGTGTCACAGAGCAAACTCAAGTTCTTCCGAAGCCTGTCTGCTTTCCCTTTGGAGAATCATTTAGATGAAGCAATTGATGGCAGAGCCATTGAGAAACAAGAGACGCTGTTGACCATTGTTGAAATAATCCTCCTGTTTACATGTGCATTGCTTAATAAGTACAGAGGCATGATAATTATGTGTTTTACAGCTGAGAGACAAAGGGCTGCAGTCATAACAACAAGCCACAGCTTCAACACAGTTGTGTGTTGTAGTTGTTGTTGTTCGTACAGATTACAACACTGTTGGATTGGTGTGGGCAATTCCACGATAACAGAGTGATGCTAAGACAGATTTTCCACGTTAAAATGTACACTACACGCGTTCTCTGGAGTGATGAATCACGCTACACCATCAGGCAGTCCGACGGACGAATCTGGGTTTGGTGGATACCAGGAGAACACTACCTGCCTAAAGTTTGGTGGAGGAGGGATAATGGTCTGGGGCTGTTTTGCATGGTTCGGGCTAGGCCCCTTAGTTCCAGTGAAGCTACAGCATACAATGACATTCTAGATGCTGTGCTTCCAACTTTGTGGAAACAGTTTGGGGAAGGCCCTTTCCTGTTTCAGCATGACAATGCCCCCATGCAAAAAGCGAGGTCCATACAGAAATGGTTTGTCGAGATCGGTGTGGAAGAACTTGACTGGCCTGCACAGAGTGCTGACCTCAATCCCATCAAACACATTTGGGATGAATTAGAACGTCAACTGCGAGCCAGGCCTAATCGCCCAACATCAGTGCCCCAACTCATTAATGTTCTTGTGGCTGAATGGAAGCAAGTCCACGTAGCAATGTTCCAACATCTAGTGGAAAGCCTTCCCAGAAGACTGAAGGCTGTTATAGCAAGAAAAGGGGACCAACTCCATATTAATGCCCATGATTTTGGAATGAGATGTTCGACGAGCAGGTGTCCACATTCTTTTGGTCATGCTGTGTATGTCAAACAAAAACCAATGATTGCAAAGTTAAACAAAACCAACTTTATACACAAAGACTACTTTAAACAATTTCCACAGAGTTGTATGGTTTGTTTAACTTTGCAATCATTGGTTTTAGTTTATAATACATTTCAAGTGAAAAGTCTTAGTCTCAGTATCACTCTGTTTCCGTGGAATTGCCTGTGTGCTATTTCACCAGTTGTCATACTGTTGTGCAATTGCATTATTGAAGCCACCTCAAAAATACCAAGCATCAAATGTCACGGTTTCGGCCGAGGCTGCCTCTCTCCCTTGTTCGGGCAGGCTTCGGCGTTCGTTGTCTCCGGAATACTAGCTGCCACCGTTGTATGTTTCATGTTCGTTTGCTTTTGTCTGATTGTTGTCACACCTGTTTTCATTTAGTGTCATTAGTGTCCTATTTAGTTCTCGTTGTGTTTGTCAGGTGTTGTGTGTTATTGATTTTTGTCTGTCGTGTGTAGGGCTGATGTTCGCTATTTCGCTCGGTTGAGCTTCCCTCCACTGCGTGGAGTGTTTACGCACCTGTGTAGTGCGCATTTGTTTTGTTCGCCTTCGTGCGTTATTTCGCCTACGGGCAAGTGTTCTCGTATTTCCTTGTTGGAGAGTTACTAAAGTCTGTTGGACTATACTTTGGTGTCCTGCGTTTGATTCCACCACTACACCCACCTACAGCACGCGTGACAGAATAACACACCTTAAAATGGAATCAGCAGGAGCCGCAGCAGCCCAGACGACGCTGGAGGACCAGGTTCGGGAACATCGGGACCAGATCCTGCAGATGGGGACCGCACTGCAGGAGGTGATCACCACCATTCGAGGCTGGGGAACGCCTCCACCGCCACCCTCCTTGCCAGCACCATCGGCCAGTCCACCCATTCCAGCACCGGAACCCCGAGGAGTCCGACTCTCGCTCCCGAGGTCCTACGATGGAACCGCGGCCGGGTGTCAGGGATTCCTTCTCCAGGTGGAGCTGTACCTGGCCACCGTGCACCCGGCGCCCTCGGGACATGAGAGCGTGTCCGCCCTGATCTCCTGCCTTTCCGGGAAGGCATTGGAATGGGCCAACGCGGAGTGGAGGAGGATCGACGCGGACACCATCACGTACGACGAGTTCTCCCGCCGCTTCAGGGCGGTGTTTGACCATCCCCCGGAGGGGAGAGCGGCGGGGGAGCGTCTGGTCTTCCTCCGGCAGGGGAGGAGGAGTGCGCAAGAGTTCGCCCTCGAATTCCGTACTCTAGCGGCAGATGCAGGGTGGAATGATCGGGCTCTCGTCGATCACTACAGGTGTAGTCTACGAGAGGACGTCCGTCGGGAGCTGGCTTGTAGGGACACCAGCCTCTCGTTCGACCAGTTGGTCGACATGTCCATCAGGCTGGATAACCTACTAGCTACCCGCGGACGTTCCGAGGGGGGTCCGTCCATTTCACCCTCCAGCGCCTCCGAGCCGTGTCCCATGGAGCTCGGGGGTGCTGGCGCTAGAGAGAGGAGGGGTCGGCTTACTAGGGGGTCCATCCCCTGCACCAACTGTGGTCGGGGAGGACACACCGCGGCTAGGTGCTGGGGGTGGCCTCCTAGGGGAGAGGACGACAGGTCCCGCACTGGGGATTCCTTCCAGGTGAGTAGGCGCCCCACTCACCCAGAGCTCTCTATTGCACATTTCTGTTTGCCTGTGAGTTTTCCACAGGTAGCACCTCATTCCCAGCATAAGGCGCTGGTAGATTCAGGCGCGGCTGGGAATTTTATTGATAAGAAATTTTGTTTAGCTTTAGGGATTCCCCTTCTTCCTGTTGATGTCCCTTTCCCCGTTCATGCCCTAGATAGCCGTCCGTTGGGTGCGGGCTTGATCAGGGAGGTCACTGCGCCACTTAGGATGTGTGCGCAGGGGGGTCATCAGGAGATGATTCAGCTATTTCTGATTGACTCTCCTGCGTATCCGGTGGTGCTGGGCATGCCCTGGTTGAGTACCCATAACCCATCTATTTCGTGGCAGGAGAGGGCTCTGATGGAGTGGTCTGCCCAGTGTGTGGGTAGATGTTTAGGCGTTTCCGTAGGGGCTACCTCGGTGGAGAGTCCAAACCAGGTGCCCGCATTGCACGTTCCCCCTGAGTATGGGGATTTGGCTATTGCGTTTAGTAAGTCGAGGGCAACGCAGTTGCCGCCCCATAGGCAGGGAGATTGTGCGATAGACCTCCAGGCAGGAGCTGCGCTCCCACGGAGCCATGTGTATCCTCTGTCTCAGGAGGAGAAGAAAGCTATGGAGACTTACATAGACGAATCTCTGAGACAAGGATACATACGGCCTTCCACTTCCCCTGCGTCCTCGAGTTTCTTTTTTGTGAAGAAGAAGGATGGTGGTTTGCGCCCATGCATCGATTACCGTGGTCTCAATCAGATCACGGTGAAGTACAGTTATCCACTCCCGCTGATTGCGACCATGACTGAGTCCTTGCATGGGGCGCGTTTCTTCACTAAATTAGATTTCAGGAGCGCGTACAACTTGGTGCGCATCAGGGAGGGCGATGAATGGAAGACAGCCTTTAGTACCACCTCGGGCCATTACGAGTATCTTGTCATGCCATACGGGTTGATGAACGCTCCGTCAGTTTTCCAATCATTCGTGGATGAGATCTTCAGGGACATGCAGGGGCAGGGGGTCGTGGTGTACATAGATTACATTCTCGTGTACTCGCCTACCCGTGTCGAGCATGTGGCCCTGGTGCGCAGAGTGTTGCGGAGGCTGGTGGAGCACGACCTGTATGATAAGGCAGAGAAGTGTCTGTTTTTCCAGGAGTCGGTCTCCTTTTTGGGGTATCAGTTGTCTGCGTCAGGGGTGAAGATGGAGGTAGACCGGGTGTCAGCCGTGCGTAATTGGCAAACACCAACCACTGTGAAGGAGGTGCAGCAGTTTTTGGGGTTTGCGAATTACTACCGGAGGTTTATCCGGGGTTTTGGACAGGTGGCAGCTCCCATCACGTCTCTCTTGAAGGGGGGCCCAGTGCGTCTGCAGTGGTCTGCCGAGGCGGACAGGGCATTTGGGAGGCTGAAGGACCTGTTTACCTCGGCTCCAGTGCTGGCGCATCCGGATCCCTCTTTACCATTTCAGGTAGAGGTGGACGCGTCTGAGGCCGGTATAGGAGCCGTGCTTTCACAAAGATCAGGCGCGCCACCTAAACTCCGCCCTTGTGCTTTTTATTCCAAGAAGCTCAGTCCGGCGGAGCGAAACTATGACGTAGGGGACAGGGAGCTGTTAGCCGTGGTACAGGCCCTAAAGGTGTGGAGGCACTGGCTTGAGGGGGCTCAACACCCTTTCCTCATTTTGACGGATCACCGTAACCTGGAGTACATCCGGGCAGCGAGGAGGCTAAACCCTCGGCAGGCTAGATGGAATATGTTTTTGACCCGGTTTACGTTTAAGATCACGTACATCCCTGGGTCCCAGAACGGTAAGGCAGATGCGCTGTCTCGGCGGTATGACACGGAGGAGAGGTCCGTGGAGCCCACTCCCATACTGCCGGAGTCGTGTCTGGTGGCACCGGTAGTGTGGGAGGTCGATGCTGAGCTCGAGCGGGCGTTACGCACCGACCCTAGTCCACCACAGTGCCCGGAGGGTCGGAAGTACGTTCCGCTCGAGGTTCGGGATCGATTGATCTATTGGGCTCACACGTCACCCTCCTCTGGACATCCGGGTATCGGCCGGACAGTGCACTGTCTTAGTGCCAAGTACTGGTGGCCCACGTTGGCAAGGGATGTGAGGGTTTATGTTTCCTCCTGCTCGGTGTGCGCCCAGTGTAAGGCGCCTAGACATCTGCCTAGGGGTAAGTTACTACCCCTGCCTGTGCCACAACGACCATGGTCCCACCTCTCGTGGATTTCCTTACTGACCTTCCTCCTTCACAGGGGAATACCACTATACTGGTCGTTGTGGACCGGTTTTCTAAGGCCTGTCGTTTGCTCCCCATGCCGGGCCTTCCTACCGCCCTGCAAACTGCCGAAGCCCTATTCACCCATGTGTTCCGGCACTACGGGGTACCCGAGGATATTGTGTCTGATCGAGGTCCCCAATTTACCTCCAGAGTCTGGAGGGCCTTTATGGAGCGGTTGGGGGTCTCGGTGAGCCTCACCTCGGGTTACCACCCGG